GAGTCTCAGTTGCAGCTGCAGCAATGCTTTACTAGAGAGTCAAAGTCTCGCCTATCTTTTCCACAAGCCACCTGTGCTTCACAGCAAAAATAGACAGTGAAAATGATCTGTTCATAGTCATATTGACAATAAACTAGCAACATATACACATTTCAGTTGTTTCAATGTCTATATAGGTAGAATATGTCACAGACATGTAGAAAATATTTTTTTTCTAAACTCAACACCTCCTGTATCTGTTTTAGATTAAAAGCTGTTTCTGTGGACAGAATCCATAATATGATAACAGGGTTTTTATTGTATTGTATTTATCAAAGGCAAACTCAGTGTAAAAATACAGGGTTTGCAGCAGCAGCTCTGCAGAAACGCTCTCAGTGTGATCACCTCAGGTGTACGAGCTGCAGCAGTTGAGCAATGCAGCGATGCTCACACATGCTGTGTGGACCTAGCTTTAGTGGAAATGATTCCTTTGTGATTAAACCCACAAATCCACCAATTTAACAGGTTGTTTGGCAAACTCAGATACAGTGTTTGTGAGTATGTGACTCTAAATACTCTGATTTACAGAATCTGGACTCAGATGACCTGAACTACGCAGCTCTACGTTTCCAGGCGAAACCAAAAAGAAACCACAGACCTGCACCAGAGAGAGAGCTGGAGCCACATGTTGTGTATGCTGCCACCAGATAGACTCAACTGGGACTGTAGCTCTGAGTGGAACTGATGCTTTATAACATTAATGAAATGTTGTGTTTTTGTGTGTGAGTAGTGGGTGGAAAGAGTCCAAAAATAAACTTGTTCTGTATTTTCTCACTCATGTCTCTTTCTGTCTCTCTCTCGGTCAAAGTCTCTGTCTTTCTGTTTTAGTCTGAGGGGGAGGAGGAAGCAACAGCACCGTGTGGTCTGAGAACAACTGAGGTGAAAATCATGAGGCCTCTGAAGCCAAAGCTCAGTGGAAAGTATAAAAGCAAACAGTGTAAACTAACTTCTTCAGATGAAATTAGAGACCCTTTTGAAGGAACATGGAGACAATAGTAATAGAATACACCAGCACCCTGTGGTGATAAACACTGTCTGTATGAGTAATAAATAAAAATGTAAAATACATATGATTCTCTTCTGATGTTGCTAAATCACTCCACTTCTCATTCCTGGGACTGGGAGGGGCTGAGGTGCAAGGATAGGAGGTGAGGAAAGGAATCGAGGTTGTACAAACTGGGAAATGAGAAAGTCCCCCAGGGTCTGTGTCTGTGTATGGGCGTGGTCTTCTGCCTCACTATGGCTCTGCCTCTCTGCACACTTGTTCATCATGTGCAATGAGTCAGCCATCAACCCGCCATTCTTTCCGGTATCTACAATAAAAGACTGCATAGATGATTCACCTATGTGCTTGTCGGCGGTCTGCATCTAGGTTCAACCTCTAAGAAAATGACACAAACAGCATAGATTATAGCACCAAGCATAAAGATATGACACCATATGTCCCTCCCTTTGTTTTCTTTATAGTTAGTCTTTATAGACTGGATTAGGTGAGGTTACTTTTAAGCATCTGAAATAATCCTTTGTGGCCACTTTTATCTCAAATTGCACCTGACTCAGATATAATGAGATATCATAAGATCCTGTTGTGTCAAGTTGTGAAACAGTATTTGGTCAGTGACACTAAACTAATCAGACTAATCTTTTGTCACATAGTTGCCGTTGAAGAATTGCATCCTGAAAGAAACAAGGTGAAGTATTACTGTGGATGATAGGTAACGGTTTTTGGTGCAAACAGTGTTTGTGTACAGTATGTGACTGCAAGAAAACCTCAAGATTTGACCTGCTCGCTTTGAAATGTTGTCTCCTTGTCACACTTTGTGCTGGTTCCTGAAAAACATTGTTAGAGAGTGTGTGTGTGTGTGTAGATACAGTATATGGGCCTAAATAGTTCCTTTACTCACAGAATCTGGGCTCAGATGACTTGAACTACGACGCTCTGTGTTTCCTTCCACAGATAATAAGAAACAGGAGGACTACATCAGAGAGACAAGTGGAGACTCATGTTATTCATGCTGCCAGCAGATAGACTCAGGAAGAAACTGAAACTGCAACTGTAACTGATGCTTTATCATATGAATCTGCTGCCAGTCACCACCCACATGCATGTTGGTAGTGGGTGACAGAAGCGGTCAATGGCAAACATTTTAAAATAAAGTTTCTATATTCATGGGCAGTTGTGTCGCTCTCTCAGCCAAAGTCTTTGCCTTTCTTGTTTTGTTGGCCAGTAGTGTCAGTAATGAGGACATATTTGATGTTTGATGAGACACAAAGGACACTGACGACTGTTAAACGCCCTCTTAGGGAGAGTCAAATGGTCTGTCAGGGGGAGGGAAGAGTGAGATACACATCATTTCACAGGAAGAGACAGCACAGTGTGGTCTGAGTACAACTCATGTGAAAGTCACAAGGCCTCTGAAGTCAAATCAGCCCCCTGTGGTGACAAACATTGTCTGTATGAGTGAAAAATAAAGTGTCCACCACAGGAAGACTTCAGCCATGACCACAAACAGCAACAACCTGCTACACAAACAGAGTAATGCTACTATTTAACTACTTTACATTCACAAGCTACATCAACATCTGCATTCAAACTTCAAGACACTCTTTAGCCAGAGAAAGACATCTACATGAACACTGTCAGTTGTGATAGTTACTTCATATTGCAATAATGCATAATAATGCAGAATCATCATCTTCTTTAAAAGACTTTGAATATTGAGTTAATCTAGTGTGGACAGAACTGCTGTACTGTTACTATTCAAATGCTTGGCCCAGTTTTCATGCTGTGGGGATGCACAAACATCATCATCTCAGATGACGGTAGTTAGAAAGATGTGTCAGATGCCAGACAGCCTCCCCTCTATGTCTTGTGTCTATACAACGGATGATGATGTTTTACAACGCATAGTTTTTTATCTCAGATTTAAAAAGTTCAAATGAGCAAATTGTGGCAAAGGTCATGTACTGTAGCCTGCCCCTTAACTTAAAGGATCACTACTGTTGACTATGACTAGACCTCCATCAGTGCCTATTGATATCCAGCAAATATCCAGCATGATGGTCAGGAGACAGGAGGGAGGAAATAATTCGCTCAGTCTAAAATCTAATGCTATTTTTTTTTGTTGCCATTTGGTTTGTCCCTGATCAATATCTGTCTCATCTATCTCAAACATATGTTATAAGACAGAGTGGATGCGTGTATGAACAAGACAAAGGGGAGCTTTCCGCAACACTTGTTGCATGCACATGTAGGCATGCAACAAGCAATGTACCTTCTCCCCCCCTGTTATTTTCCACTGTGGTGAAAACACTGTGTGTATCAGTTAGAATGAAAGCCACAGGAGGACTGGCCTTCAGCTCTTTGCTATAAAACCACACGCAACAAAGGCTGCGTTGCTCTCAGTCGAAGCTTTACTTTCACTTCGTCCACCTCATTCACTTTTTGTTTTACGTTTTATACATCAGTAGGCTGCTTACAGGAAAAATGCTTTGTGCAGCCTCACACATGCAAATCGTCTGATGGCTCTGATTTCTCCAACCACGGCTTCAAGCTCAGCTGCAGAAGCAAATTGTAATAGACCTCCTCACTTCCTTACCCACAAGACGACCTTACACACAGGTGCAGTTAGGCTATGGGTGTGTTAACCTCTGGTTGGAAGAAGGTTCAGGTCCATTTTGCAAAAAGTGCAAATAGCAACCCCACTGTGAAAATACTCCACTACTGAAAGTGAAAGTTCAGCATTCTACATGTTACTAAGGTAATATATGTATATATATATATGTATATATGTATATATAGTATATAAGTATTACATCAAAATACACTTAAAGGTGCAGGGTGTGTAGGATTTTGTGGCATCTAGCAGTGAAGGTGTAGATTGTAACCAGCTGAATAAGTGGCTGCAAAAAACCTGATTGTCTCTATAAGACTTTTTAAAAAAAAGCTTTCTTTCTTAGAATTTATGCTACTGCAACAATTACTGAGTTCCTCCCCCCTTTTCTGTATTTTTGTTTGCTGTCTTGCAGAATATAATAAGTAGATCAATGTTAATTTAATCTGTGTTCAGTGTAGAGTTTGGTCCACAACAAAGTGAGAGGCGTGGCCCTGGAAAAATACTCTTAGTTGTCTGTTCTCTGTCTCAGGCCCAATTTTCAATCAGAATACTTTCTGTACACCTCAACTTGCACTGCATTATGTGGGTGCACACTGTATCGGTTCACACCTATCCTCCTACGTTAGTGCCAACCTGTCATATGTTGATCAACCTGTGATCTTAATCTTTGTGCTGCGACAAAAAAAGACCATGTGTGAGTGGAAGAACCTTCCTCTTTGAACTTCCTTCCTGGAGCTCAGTGATTTTAGCCTCCATTACAGCAAGATGACCATACGCACAATGATGAGCTTTACTCTGATGATGATACCAGCTTTATTTCTCTGCAGCCTCAGTAAGTACTGGTATTTAATTTCTCTTAGTGTTAGTCCATGGCTAAATTGTGTTTAGTTTATAGTTTCTACAGCAATGTTTTAGGGTCGTTTTAATCTGTTTGTTGTTGCATTATCAGCTGAGAACTAAATCTCTCTGCTGTGTGTTTCAGGCTGGATCTCTGTCTCAGGTTCTGAGTCTCAGACTGTGGAGGTCCAGCCTGGTGAAGATGTCACACTGCTGTGCTCCAACTTTTCCAGTTCTCCCACTCAGACAGTCTGGTTCACACTGGTAAACAGAACGCAGCCCCGCTGTATTTCCTCCATGTACAGTTCTACTGAGCCTGCTTCACTCTGCAACGGAGTCGAAAAGGGCAAATTTGAAATGAGCTCCAACATCTCCACCGTCTTTCTCAAAATCAAGCGCATTGATGTGTCTGACTCTGGGTTGTATTTTTGTGGATTTAACATGAACATACTCGTACTTTAGTCATATTTAAAGGTTCAAGGAAGTTGTACAGTGTCCTTTAGCTGCCAGCACAAAGGAAACAGAATGTATCTTATTTCAACGTGGTCAGAGATAGATTGTTAAGGAAATATCCTGTCAAAATCTGATAATTAATGTGAGAGATTTTTTTCAGTAGCACATTAAATGTTCTTCCATCCTCTCATTAGGATTTAATATGCAGGTTAGAATTTGTGAACTGATATTGCATCAGTCAACAAAGGTCATTAATCAGTGCTAATATTAGATTTCAAGCTAGTAAAGTATAAAAAAGTATTTCACTCGGAAATATGCACAATATATGCTACTTGATCACAGTTCAAGTAATTGAATGATCTTTCTTGTAGAAGAGCCTGGTGAAATACTGAGCCTGATGAGTGTGATCCTGAGCGGTGTGACTGTTGTTCTCACTAAAGTCATCATTGTCCTTGTTGTCAAAATGAGGCAAAGAGGTACTGTCTGAGAGCTGTCTATTGTGTTTATGTAGCTTTTGCACATCCTGTTGTCAATATCACAGTTAACCTACTGCTCAGTGATTAAATGTATTAATAGCAGATCAGACACATTTACTGGATATATAGTCCACAAGCAAGTTAAACCACTTCAAGTCCTAATTAGTCAATCATTTTATATAGTTTATGAGACTATATTTCTTTATAAAATACAATGGTGGCAGCATTATGATAGCAATTTCGTGATGTATATATGTATATATTTGTATATGTATACATAGTCATTAATTCCCTAGATCCCGATACACATATTTAAAACAAAATCTGAAAATAATTTTAGATTGCATATATACTAACTAATATATCATATAATATATTTCCTCTCATTTTTCTACACTATATTTTTATATGTATATTTGAAGGCAGGTGATGTAGATTTTGATATATGTGTCGATGTATCTGATATAATGTATACTGCTTCTATTGATATGTACACTATATCTGTGTACTTATGTACTTTGTTCATTGTTTTCAGATGTTTATCACCCTGGTCAGAATGATAATCCACATCTGCCACCATTCAGCTTGTCAGCCTATACATGGTTTATGTATGCATACTGGTGTGGTTTCAAAGCTTTTCAGACATTCTGACCTGACAAAAGTCCAGCTAGGATCCCAATGTTGTAATTATTAACCGTTGTGGCAGGGAGTAAGTGTGCAGGCCTTAGCATTTTTTCACTGAAGCTCATATATGTGAAAATCCTCTGACTCTTATTTACAGAATCTGGACTCTGAAGGATTCAGCATTGATTTTCCAACCCAAAACAAGAAAGAAGTGGAAACTCAACCTCATATATGCTGCAACTAGAAAGACGTAAAATGTAACCCTGATCCAAAAAGTCATACCACATACTGTATCACAATTTTTCCTCACCCAAATCAACTGTCTAGGGATAGATGGTGTAACGATTGCAAAGCCACTTGAGGCAAATTGTGGTTTGGGATTTGGGGTTATATAAATATAATTTGTATAGATTAAAAGGTGCAGTGTGTAACATTGAGGAGGATGCCTTCCGTGGAGTCAGTGTTAAACCGACATGTTTCTACAGTAGCCCAGCATGGACAAACCAAACAATGGCTGTAGATAGGGCCTTTAGCTTTTTTTCTCGGGCACCATAGTCTCCTACACACTTCACAGGTCATCAACAATTTACAACTTGTGAATGAGATGAGTTTAGTTGCTTCATTTTCCCTTCTTTTGACAACATCATCCTTTGACCTTGCCCTTTGGACACAGACCCTGTGTAGATTTACATAGTGGTGGAGTGAGTGAGATATAGCAGTGGTGTCTAAGGACAAATGGAGCAAAGCCTGTGAGCTAGTTCAGGCACTATAGCTGCACTGCTATGCAGACATGCAAACATTACATGCCTCACTCCATAATCACTAACCAAGCGCACCCTTCCAATCTGGCGGTCTATTTAAACTGAACAATTTCCCAGAGCTCCCTCTGCTCTGTCAATGCCACTGCTGCCCTGTGTCCGTATAGCTGCCTGCTGCTCTGTAAGCCCCACCACCAACCCAGCATCCACCTGTAGGCTCCGGGTAGAGGTTAAGGTATTTGCTCATTACTCCCCAATATCTCTATGTAAACATATCTGCGGGGAATGATGAGGTCGGAGCCTAGACGGCAAAATCTAACTATGCTGTACTGCTGGAATAAACATTTCAAATGTGAGTTGTCTGACTGGACTAAGGTTTCAACTAAGTCAGAAATTATAAAGTCTTAAAGTTAACCGTGCCAGCCTTGGACATTAAGAGACAAAAAGGCTCTATTTGTACGGATGTTTTGGAAAAAGAAAGAAACTAACCAGGAGGCAACCAATAGCAACCACAGGAAGACTGGTTTCCAGTCATAACCACACATATCAAAGACCAAGAGCAGAAGAATGATGCTGCTTTAAAAGCTACCGGTATATATCAAGCCATGACACTGTTTCACTATCCACCCACCACTTTACACAAACTGACAAGCTCACAACCAGACATGAGAGCATTTCAGTTGTGCATCTTAAAATCTTTCTCCCCAGTTCTTCCGTTTATTTTGTGAGAATATGACTGACAAAGCATCTGTACTGTTGAGGGATTACCATGAATGGGCTTAAAGCATGATCTAACATAAATTCAGAGAGGTGTGATTGTGGGTGTAAAAAGACACACTGTAAAACCTGACAACACACCTTGATCAAAGAAGTAAGTTACCATAACTTAATCCTCTCAGAAAATGCAGTCAATCCATTACATGAATTAAAAGTGACTTTATTCAGATACGTTCAATTAATTGAATGGAATTGTTAACATTAACCTAATTCTCCCAAGTTATCTTAACAATTCATATTTGAGTTACTCAAATCAAATATCTTTCATGCTTAAATAGTTTGAGTTAATAAACCTAAATGCATTTAGGGCAATCTGTTTCCTCAAACAGAGTTGAATTAACTTATCAAGTTTTACAGTGTATAAATACGGTGAATGAATCCTTCATGAACATGTATTATAGGAACTGGGCCTTGGACGATGATATGTGTAATGGACCGGTGATAAGAAATCACCAATACACAAAAGAACAATAAATACCACAATTAAATTTGAACATACAAATCAAACACTGGCTCTGGACAGATTCTAAAATTTTGAGGCCACCGTAGTTTCTCCTACTTACTTAGAAAGAAGAGTGAAGTGAGCTGTGATCAGTTGGTTGCAGTCTGCAATTACACCTCTAAATGCCACTAAAACCTACACACTGGTCCTTTAACTACAGCACATATTCCCATCAATGGGAAACAATGTCATCCAAAATTCTGCCAGGCATTAACATGTTAAAGTTGATAAACTTGTCTCATACTCCTTGAACACTTCCTGAAAGCATGTATGTGGTCAGTTTGAGCAACAGTATAAGCAACATAAAACAGCCCACCTCTTTACACTGAGCGCCGCCCTCCTGGGGCACTCTCTCATTACGGACATTGCAGAGCTTCAGTCATACGCTCGATGATGAACTTCTTCACCTTGATAACAGTATTGACTCTCTGCAGCCTCAGTAAGTACTGAATTACTCTCAATTTCATTGCTCAGTTTATTATTGCATGTTTAACCTGCCAACATTTAAACTCATTTACTTATTACATTCTTGATAACTTTCATTAAGAGATGTTGTTTGCCTTCATATGACTTTATAACATTGTCGTTGTCTGCTGTGTGTTTCAGGCTGGATCTCTGTCTCAGGTTCTGAGTCTCAGACTGTGGAGGCTCAGCCTGGTCAAGATGTCACACTGCTGTGCTCCAACATTTCCAAATATGAATCTATGACATTCTGGTTCAGACTGATCAACAGAACCAAGATGAGCTGCATCTCTGTTATGTTCAATTCTAAAAGCAATGCTTCATTCTGTGATGGATATCAGAGTGGAAAATTTGAAATGAGATCCAACATCACCACTCTCTTTCTCAAAATCAAACAAGTGGATTTGTCTGACTCTGGACTGTATTTCTGTGGATTTTACACAGACGGGCGTCCAAGTTTCACTGTAATACATTTAAACATTAAAGGTAAGATTATAGTAAAGTCTGTCTCTTGGTTCCCATTAATCCATTATGTCTTTTTATAGTTATATTGAAACATGGATTACATTGATTTCTTTAGAAGGCAGCGATGAGCCACATGATGACCTGGACAACAAGTGTAAAAGTAAGATTCTCCTAAAGATTTCTTTAATTGTGCAGATTATCAAATGTTTGAAGGTGAAACACTTTAACTAAATTCAGTTTGGTCCATTGTAACTTTAGCCTGGTCTCAAGTCTCTAAAGGGGAAATAGAGTCTAACTTAGTGCTCTTTCTTGTAGAAGAGTTTGATGGAATAGCAAAGCTGATGATTGTCGTCCTGGGCAGTCTGACTGTTGTCCTTGCCACTTGTCTGGTTGTCAAATACAGGAAACTTCAGACAGGTACTCTTATTTTTGTTTGACTGTTTTTATTAATTCTTCATAAATATGTGTCAGTATGACGAAAAACTACAAAATAGCTAGAAGTTAACTGATTCGATGTATTGTCTCTGTCATTCAGCTGCCAATGAGGAACAGAGACCACAACAGCGTGAGGTGAATCACCTTTTATTGTTTACTGTTGTATATGTTAAATGTTTTCATATGTTAAAGATGGTAGAATCATAAATGTTGTTCAGTCAGTTGTTGTTTATTAAGCAGTATAGCATAGTTAGATTTTGGCGTCTAGGCTCCGACCTCATCATTCAGATATGCAGATATGTTAACAGAGATATTGGGGAGTGATGTGCAAATACCTTAAACCCCGAGCCGGAGCCTACAGGTGGATGCTGGGGTGGTGGTGAGACTTACAGAGCAGCAGCACTAGCAATGTGATGCAAGGCAACAGCGACATTGACAGAGCAGAGGGAGAGCTGGGAAATTGTACAGTTTAAATAGACCGCCAGATTGGAAGGGTGTGCTTGGTTAGTGATTATGGAATAAGGCATGTCGTGTGTAATCAGCGCAGCTCGAGTTGACAGCCTGAACTAGCTTGCAGGCTTCGCTGCATTTTTTCTCACACACTCAGCTGTTTGCCTTGTGTTAACTGTGTGTACTCTTTACAGAATCTGGACTCTGATGACCTGAAGGATGCAGCCCTGAGTTTGTATTTAACAACAATAAGAAACAGGAGGCCTGAGTCAGAGAGACAAGTGGAGACTCGTGTTATTTATGCTGCCAGCAGATAGACTCAGAGTGGTTCAGAGGAGCTGATGCTTTATCATATTAATCTGCTACTGTGTTCTTTTGTGGTTGGGTGGGAGGAGTTACCATTTTCTTATTGAGAAGAAAATCAAATAATATTTGACTTTTACTCTCATGACTTGCTAATTTTATCTGACTTTGCTGACTGTCCAGATCAACAATAGATAGATGGAAGCCTGCAGCAGTGGAGGAGTGAGTGAGGTACACACACAGTGTGGTCTGAGCTCAACTGAGGTGGAAACCACGTGGGTCTGTTCGATCAATGCAAATAAAGTCTGAAATGAAGCAGTGAATAGTGTGGAACTGGATATTTTAACTGCGATGTCAATGTGGTACATGCCTGAATGTATATATATATATATATTGTATATTGTATATATACAGTTTCAATGTGTGGCTAAAGGAGCACATTTTCAGGCAGTCTCTAGAAGACATTCATAGTGCTGTCAGTTGTTCACACATTAGTTGACAGAAATAGTTGTGTGAACAATGAAAAAAGAGAGAAGGAGAAGTTCAACCACAGGTTCCTTTCTCACCTCCACCCAGCTGACCAATCAGAACCTGACCTGGGTGTGAATGTCCGATCTTTGGTTTCAGAAAGTTACAGAAATGGTCGGACGCATCCCCTCCATCTGACGTCAGAAACCTGTAGGGGGAGGGGGTTTCAGAGGCTGTTCGCTCATCTAACAAGCAATTCTGATTGAGTAGTGGCAACTTCACACACCATGTCTATCCTATTTAATCACTATTAATTACTACAGACAAACACTGCTTTAATAAAAGAAATATCAAACTAGAATTTCCACCCAGTTGTCGTATGCCTCCACCAAGAAGTCAACAAGGATGAGATGAAAAGATAAAAGCCTGTAATGTGCTAGTTATTGTTTACTCATTATGCCATCCCAGTCAACATGTGTGGAATCTGAAAATGCCCACTTCTTTCTTAAATCATGGTTAAAAACCTATTTTAAAGTCACAGTGACCTTTGACCTCTGGGTCAAAAGTGTCACCAATTCAGTGTCAGTGTGTGTCAATGTGTGTGTCACCAAGATCATTCCTATTCTTTTCTCCCCTTTGTTAATCTGCGCGTCAGTGTGAGCACAAGTGTGAGCCTGAGTGTGTCTATTAGAAGTGCATTTCTCCACACCGGGCAACAAGCGATTCTAATCCTCTGCTCATGTCTAATCTCACAGACAGCTGATCTTTCTAATAACCTCATGAATGATGTGTGCATGGATAAGTGGGGTGTTGCTCCTTCTGCAACAATGAAGTTGAAAAGGATCTGCAGGGAGGGGCTTTTCTCCTGCGACCTGTGTGTGTGTGTGTGTGTGTGTGTGTGTGTGTGTGTTCGATCTGTGACACATATAGCTTTATCATACAGCTTAAACAGGGTTAAGGAAAAAAAATCTAACTTTTTTTCATTTTTTGGTTTTGGCTGTGAGCGATTTCAGCTGAGCGCAGTGAAATCTAAGTTGCTCTATGAACTGCCATTAAGATATCTTTAGGTCAGAGGTTAAGGCATCACTGTTTTCCATTGACAAAATGTAATTTAACTTTGGAGTATTATTTAGCCCTCTTCCTGCCATGCTAGCATGACATGGTTAGATCATCTAGTTACATATGATACCAGTATCTTCACTCTAGCTTTAAAACAGAGCCTGCTACAGCCTCTGAAAGATAATTCGGAGTGGAAGAGGTTAGGATAATGTGGTATAATTTAGGGTGACCAGTCAGATTTCAGGGTTGGCCAGTGCCACCATAGTGCCCCCCCTTTAAACCACCTCTGTACTATGACAAAAATATCCTTCTTTGAGCAACAGGATGAGCAACTACAAACAGCCCGCCTCTTTATGTAGAAAGCAGCCTTACTGAAGCACAGTTCATTGTGGACATTGCAGAGCTTCAGTCACACTCACCATGAAGAACTTTACCTTGATAACAGCTTTAAGTCTCTGCAGCTTCAGTGAGTACTGGCATTGAATTACATTTATAACTTTGGTAGCTCTAACTAACCAGGACTGAAAGTATTGAGTTATGTAAGAGTTATTGTTCATGTTCTTTTTGTCTCATTGAAAGTAAATCTTGTGTGTTTCAGGCTGGATCTCTGTCTCAGGTTCTGAGTCTCAGACTGTGGAGGCTCAGGTTGGTGAAGAAGTCACACTGCTGAGTACCAACATGTCCAAATATGACTCTGTGTCATTCTGGGTCAAACTGGTCAACGGAACCAAGGCCAGCTGTATCACTGTTAAAATAACCTCAGATAACGCTGTTGTGTACTGCGACGGATTTTCAAAGGAAAAATATGAAATGACATCCAACATCTCCACTGTCTTTCTCAAGATCAAACATTTGGAATTATCTGACTCTGGACTTTATTTTTGTGGATTTTACGAAAGTGGACGTCCAAATTTCAGTGTGATACATTTACATGTTAAAGGTAAGGTCATTCTGAAGTCTTCCTACTGGTACCCTTTCTTTGTTTTGTTTTTTTTTCACAATCATCTTCTAACAACACAGACAGCATAGTGACAATTTAAAGACTAAATGTATCCTGATTTCTTTAGAAGGCAGCGATCAGCCACATGATGACGTGGACAGCAAGTGTGAAAGTAAGATTCTCCTAAAGATTTCCTTTATTGTGTTGTCAGTCATTTCCAGTAAAACTATTTAGCTAAATTAAGTTTCTAATGTCGAGTCTAATATCATTATCTTTCTATGTAGACTCTGATGGAATAGCACATCAGAGTGTGACGAGTGTGATCCTGGGCAGTGTGACTGGTTTCCTTGTAATGGTCATCACTGGTCTGATTGTTACAGTCAGGAAACTTCAGACAGGTACTCTTATTTTTGGTTGATTGTTTTTATCCATATCCTGTTTATCCATGCGTTAAGTCTAAATGTAATAACATCAGAGTTTAAAGAAAAGGACTGTCAGTTAACTGATTCGATGTATTGTCTCTGTCATTCAGCTGCTGATGAGGAACAGAGACCACAACAGTGTGAGGTGAATCACCTTTTATTGTTTACTGTTGTATATGTTAAATGTTTTCATTATGTTAAAGATGGTAGCATCGGGTGCCCGGTTAGCTCAGTCACTAGAGCTGGCGACCCATATACAGAGTTGCTGCAGCGGCCCGGGCTCGAATCTGACCTGTGGCCCTTTTCTGCATGTCATCCCCTCTCTCTCCTCTCACCTTTCCTGTCTACTTACAGCTGTCTCTATCAATAAAGCCAAAAAAAGAACAAAATGGTAGAATCATAAATGTAGTTTTTCTCACACACTCAGCTGTTTGCCTTGTGTTAACTGTGTGTACTCTTTACAGAATCTGGACTCTGATGACCTGAAGGATGCAGCCCTGAGTTTGTATTTAACAACAATAAGAAACAGGAGGCCTGAGTCAGAGAGACAAGTGGAGACTCGTGTTATTTATGCTGCCAGCAGATAGACTCAGAGTGGTTCAGAGGAACTGATGCTTTATCATATTAATCTGCTACTGTGTTCTTTTGTGGTTGGGTGGGAGGAGTTACCATTTTCTTATTGACTTTTACTCTCATGTCTTGCTAATTTTATCTGACTTTGTAGACTGTCCAGATCAACAATAGATAGATGGAAGCCTGCAGCAGTGGAGGAGTGAGTGAGGTACACACACAGTGTGGTCTGAGCTCAACTGAGGTGGAAACAACGAGGGTTCGATCAATGCAAATAAAGTCTGAAATGAAGCAGTGAATAGTGTGGAACTGGATGTTTTAACTGCGATGTCAATGTGTTACATGCCTGAATGTATATATATATAAACATATAAACGGTTTCAATGTGTGGCTAAAGGAGCACATTTTCAGGCAGTCTCTAGAAGACATTCATAGTGCTGTCAGTTGTTCACACATTAGGTGACAGAAAGAGTTGTGTGCACAATGAAAAAAGAGAGAAGGAGAAGTTCGAAGCCCGGTTCCTTTCTCACCTCCACCCAGCTGACCAATCAGAACCTGACCTGGGTGTGAATGTCCGATCTTTGGTTTCAGAAAGTTACAGAAATGGTCGGACGCATCCCCTCCATCTGACGTCAGAAACCTGTAGGGGGAGGGGGTTTCAGAGGCTGTTCGCTCATCTAACAAGCAATTCTAATTGAGTAGTGGCAACTTCACACACCATGTCTATCCTATTTAATCACTATTAATTACTACAGACAAACACTGCTTTAATAAAAGAAATGTCATTACATAATATCAATGAGCAGGGACGGCTGGTATATATGGGCTAACAGAGCAAAGCCCCCCCCCTATCTTTTACAGTAAAGATGAAAAACTATTATTAAAAACATTAGAACATATTGTTTTGAATTTTGGTAGAACCTAGAGCAGCAACAGCACCAAAAAATGACAGAAAAAACCCAGGATATATATCTTGGGGTTTTTCCTGTGAATGGGCTAAATGTATTCAGACCAAGCACAGTAGCATAAGCTTCCATTCGATTGTGATTGACAGGTGTCGTGACACGCCCCCATTTGGGCTAAATTCATTCAGCCTGTCGATCAATTGCAGCGCAGTAGGTACAGTACAGTGACCTTCGACCAATCACAGCGCAGTAGCTACAGTACAGTGACCTTGACCATCAAGCGCGTAGCTACAGTACAGTGAGGCTAGTTCGTAGTATGGCAGGCGTTAGCATGAACATGAACCAGGTGGATTATTTACTTTCTAATCAATTTTCTTTAAAGTCTTTGGAGGAAACATTGGAAGTACAGAGATTGGGGACACATCAATAAAATTATGTTCAAATAACACAAAAGAACAAACGACAAAATCGTAATTTTGTGTTACGTGGTTTCAGCTAATGGACTGGTTAACAACAAGTGTAGCTAGGAATTAACTTTTCTGTTTCCCATGTTTGTTTTTTGGAGGAGACACTGCTTGGACCCAACAAGGAATTGTGGATTTAAAACATTTATCCGACAAAATTAGGAAACATGAATGCAGCACGAGCCACATCAGAAATAGCATAAAGCTGTCATTGCTGGGTAAAGTGAACATCGCCTGTCAGCTTAATGAGAGTCACTGCATCGCTGTACAGAGCTGGTAAAGAAAAACAGGCATTCACTATCACGGACTGTGGACTGTATTACATTTTGCGGGGGACATGAGATTTTTGGGGCCAAGTTCAAGAATTTAATTTTTTTCTGATGTTAAACTCAGAAAAAAATGAAATTCTTGTTCTTGGCCCCAAAAACCTTAGAGACTCACTGTCTAAAGATATAGTTACTCTAGATGGCATTACCTTGGCCTCTAGCACCACTGTCAGGAATCTTGGAGTTTTCTTTGATCAGGACTTTTCATTTAACTCCCACATGAAGCAGACCTCTAGGACTGCCTTCTTTCATTTACGTAATATTACAAAAATTAGACACATCCTATCACAGACAGATGCAGAAAAACTAATCCATGCATTTGTTACTTCTAGGCTGGATTACTGCAACTCTTTATTATCAGGTTGCCCCAATAAATCCATTAAAACGCTCCAATTAATTCAGAACGCTGCAGCACGAGTACTGACAGGAACTAGAAAAAGAGATCACATCTCTCCTGTACTAGCTTCTCTGCATTGGCTCCCTGTAAAATGTAGAATAGAATTTAAAATCCTCCTCCTCACCTATAAAGCTCTTCATGGTCAGGCCCCTTCATATCTTAAAGAGCTCATAGTACCCTATTACCCCTCTAGAACACTACGTTCTCTGAATGCTGGGCTACTTGTGGTTCCTATAGTCTCTAAAAGTAGAACAGGAGCCAGAGCCTTCAGTTACCAAGCTCCTCTCCTGTGGAACCAGCTTCCAGTTGTGGTTCGGGAGGCAGACACCCTCTCCACATTTAAGAGTAGGCTTAAGACATTCCTCTTTGATAAAGCTTATAGTTAGGGCTGGATCAGGTGAGTCCTGAACCATCCCTTAGTTATGCTGCTATAGGCCTAGACTATCGGGGGATTTCCCATGGTGCACTGAGCTCCTGTCTTCCTCTCTCTTTCTGTACTCATTCATGTTCCATTAATGCATGTTACTAACTTCACTTCTTCCCCGGAGTTCTTGTGCTTTCTCGTCTCGCAGGTTCTTATCGATCCTGGTGGAGCCTCCTGCCATGGTCCTGCTAGATTGCCATTGCCAATACTGTTGTTGCTGTGCACCTGTCTGTTTGTCTGTCTGTCTGTCTGTCTGTCTGTCTCTCTCTCATCCCAACTGGTCGAGACAGACGACCACCCACCTAGAGCCGGAGGATCTGTCCTAGGTTTCTGCCTTTTAACAGGCAGTTTTTCCTTGCCCTTGTCACCAAGTGCTTGCTCATGGTGGTACTGTTGGGTCTCTGTAAATAATGTTATAAAGAGTTCGGTCTAGACCTGCTCTATTTGAAAAGTGTCCTGAGATAACTTCTGTTCTGAATTGGCGCTATACAAATAAAATTGAATTGAATTGAAATGAGCTCGCCCTGCGGGGGTCCGATTAATCTCCCACTTCACTCCAGCAGCGACCAGTTCTCTTTTTTAGACAGTCAATCAGCCGATCACCTGTCAAACACACAGGTTGCAAAGTACACGTCTAAGACCACAGATTCTCTCAAAACGAGACAGGGCCTGGAGAATTTTTCGTGCTTCATATCTGAACTGCTGACCACAGATGACAATCAGCCACATCCAGATGCGGACACAGCTGCAGCCGCTGTAACGCTGCGCAGGATGCGGCGCTCTGATAATGTCTCAGTAGCCGCACAGTGCGCTTTGAGAAAGCCAGGCACTTGTTGTCTTTGCATGTGAACATTACCCAATGATCTGCATGGAGAAACTGAAAGGTGAGCTGATGGTGAGGTACAGCAGTGTGGAGTTTGACATGGTAAGGTATGCCCAAGCTCTGAAACAACTCTCTCTTCTACAAATACTGTCATTTTTTAAATATATTTTTGGTACACGGTGTTGCAAATTGTTTCTGGTACTTTTCTATAATGTAGTAGTAGCGCAATTGGCATGTGCTGATGTGTATAGAGGAGAGAGAGAGAGAGAGAGAGAGAGAGAGAGAGAGAGAGAGAGAGAGAGGGAGAGAGATTTTTTTAGCATCAGGTCATTCTTTTGGGTATGTCTCCCCAGTGTTGTAGTGATGGGAATTCCGGCTCTTTTTAGACAACCGGCTCCTTTGGCTCGGCTCACTAAAAAGAGCCGGCTCTTTCGGCTCCCAAGTGGCTCCTCATATTTTTTTTTTGCTTAAATTAATTTATTACCAAATTATGTGTAAAATGAGTATCTATACATGCATTATATCAAATGTTTAGTATTTATATGGATTTATTAATATACTCAACATGGAACAGAGTGCTACAAAAATAAATTATAAAACACAAAAACAAAGACCCATCTTAATTAGACAAAAAGCTGCTTGATATGAAATGTTTAACTTTGCACAGTCTACATTCTGCCTTTGAACTATCACATTAAAATGTGTCCAAACTTTACTACGTTTCCTGTCACTCATTTTCCTCACCCTTTCCAGTGTGTAGTCTCTGTCTATGTAGCGCCATGGTCTCTCGCTCTCACGTCTCCCTCCCACCTGTTCACGTGCTCACTGTGCCGTGTGTGTCTGTAACCCCTCCCTCCCCCTCCTGCTCAGTGTAGATACACAGATGCCGCCACACATCTTGACCAATCACGCGGCTTTAACAGGAAAAAATGGGAAAATCTGGAAAAAAATCCGGATCTGGCTTCCAATCAGGAGCCGGCTCCCGTCGTTCACTTCAAAGAGCCGGCTCTTAGAGCCGGATCGTTCGTGACCAACCCATCACTACAGTGTTGCCGTAGAGCACTTACTATAACAAAGTATACAATGTTGTTGCTGTAACTTCATGCTACTGTTGCTGCTGTTGCTGCTGTGTGACGTATTGATGAGTGTAGTGCATTAGTTAGCCCACCCACCCAAAATCTCCACCAGCTGTCACTGTCAATGAGTATTGTCAAATGGTCTAACTTAGTATATTAAGTATAACTTAGAACAGGTAACATTCTGCATCAACACTTCTTTTCCTGAAAGCGTGTATGTGGTCAGTTTGAGGAACAGGATAAGCAACTACAAACAGCCCGCCTCTTTATGTAGAAAGCAGCCTTACTGAAGCACAGTTCATTGTGGACATTGCAGAGCTTCAGTCACACTCACTGTCAAGTTCTCCTAGGTTTTGCCTCAGCTGCTGCCCGAACTTGAAAATGGCATGGATCACTCATAAAAGATGCAAAGGGACAACTCAATCTTCTTGTCTGTTTTATTTTCAGTCTTCATCCAAATATTTGCTTAATTATGCAATATATCTCAGATAGATTTGGATAGACAGATAGATAGGTTGATAACCTTAAAAGAAATAAAAATGTACAAAAATTGCAATTATTTTCCACATAATGCAATTATGCAACAAAATCACTTCTGTTAATAAATTAAAGATTTCTTAATTCTGATTTAAATGTTTTACTTAATTCTCTCATTTAAACAAAATCACTTATTTAAATAAATTACACATTTAAAAATTTCTACTAATTTAACTATTCTTAGCTAGACTCAGGTTATCATTTACAAGAGTTACTGAAGTAACAAAGTAAACCATAGATTAAACAAATTAGACTGATGATGTGACTAAACATTTCAAATTATTCTTAACATTACATTAATAAACTAGAAAATATCACATCAAAATCTAACATTCAATATTAAATGATTCATTCATTCATTCATTCATTTTCACCAGTGGCGTCCTTTGGTCGATGCTTGGACTGAGTTCATGTATTTCACCTCTGTCCTGCTGCCTTCCCTTTGTTGGCCAAACGCTGACTTTTTCCCACAGGTGGTTATAATTAATGAATGAATGACGTTCCGTCGTTTTTTTTTTTTTTTCTTTTCCGCGGAAAGTGAAAGTGAAACTTAGCGTCGTCTCCTCCAGCTGCTTTAACAGGACCTTATTTCTTTAGGAGGCAGCGATGAGCCACATGATGACGCAGGCAGCCATTGTAAAAGTAAGATTCTCCTAAAGATTTCTTTCATTGTGCAGATTATCAAATGTTTGAAGGTGAAAAAGTTTTAGCCTGGTCTCCAGTCTCTAAAGGGGAAATAGCGTCTAACTTAATTGTATTTCTTGTAGAAGAGTCTGATGGATAGAAGAGTCTGATGGAATAGAAGGTCTTGGTAAGTCTGATGGAATAGAAGAGTCTGATGGAATAGCAAAGCTGGTGATTGTCGTCCTGGGCAGTCTGACTGTTGTCCTTGTAATGGTCATCATTGGTCTGGTTGTCAAAAACAGGAAACTTCAGACAGGTACTTTTTGTCAGTGCTACTGTCTCTATCTTACATATATTTTTTGTTGTTTAAAATTGTGTCAATATGATGGAAAAATGCTAAACTCCTGGTTTACCAAAGACAATGATCAATGAACTGACCAGATGTTTTGTTTCTGTCACTTAGCTGATAAAGAAGAACAGAATCCAGAGCAAAGAGAGGTGAATCCAATTTTAACATTTATTCGCCAGAGCTATATTGACTCAGCTAACATTAACTTGTCCCTGACATATTGGTGTATTCATATATATTAGTGCATATTTGTATTGAATAAGTAACAAGAAAATGCAGTAAAGAAATGACAAAATGATGTTTGAGGTACAGTTCAAACAGTGCCACGATTTCATAGTTTGTCCATTAGAGAGCACTAACAAGTTTATTTTTAAAGTTTGTCACAATCCTTTAAAGAACAAACGTAAGGACATCTTATCAGGAATGTATGGGTCGGGTTGCCGTTGCCACTCACCCCAGCAATGTTTTCTAGTTCATAATATACATAATATAGTATATATAGCTATGTAGTCCTGGGTTTGGAGTATTTCATTAAGTGTTTATTAGGGATTAAGGATGTTCTTGACGTGTACCGTGTTGTAAAGTCTTACAATCGTACGTATTTAGAAATTAATATTGACCAAATATCAATATTGGTATCAGCCTCTTGAGTCCAGTATCCATCTGGCTATATTGGATGAATTAAAATCATGTCAATCCACCACATTCAGACTGTAAATACTCTTTTCACAGAATGCAGACTCTGACCTGAACTACGCAGCAGTGGCATTTCGACCAAAGGCAAACAGAAGACAGCCGGAGCCAAATGTTATTTATGCTGCCACCAGATAGACTGAGGAGGCAACTGGAACTGATGCTGTATCATATGAATGTGCTTTAGAGCTGTTGAATGCCTTGTTCCTAACAGCAATAACCACACATGAATATTGCAATAATGATCTGATGTTCATTCATTTGCAAGCAGTTTCATACCGCAGATTTAATTCTTAACATTGTATTTCTTTACATTTCTTTTCACTCTGCTTATCAGAAACATTGTTTGTCAGGAAGAGACGGTACAGCGTGGTCGGAGCATAACTGAGGTGAAAACCATGAGGGCCGTTAGATCAAAGCTTTCTAATAATAGAAGCAGTGAATACGGGCTGACTTCCCAAAGCCTTAGCAAGACATTTGTGATTAGGCTTTGAAAAACCATACAGTCCATCAGTGTGAGAAATGTAACCGATATCATAGAATCCCTATCATATGCTAAAAGTCTGAATCAAAAACAAAATGTCTGACTATTAGAAGTGTCTGTATCATTGGTGAGGCATGAACCACAGGAAGATTGACGTTCAGCTCTCTGCAACCCCTTCCCTCACAAGGTCATAAAAACAGCATAGAGAACTACCACACTGTCTATACTGTATAAAGGAGTAATGAAGGAATACACTGTGGCATTTTCAGGCTTATGCATATAAACGTATTACTCTTCATCCTCACGCATGCATCACAAAATCATTAGTCAGCATTTTACTGCCATTATCTGTTCTGCAAATCAACACATTTAGGTAATAACTGTATTCAAAATCCTGTGTCATGTCCTGTTTAAATAAAGGTTTTGATTTGGAGTCTGTCTATTCTTATTATTACTGCCTGTTATCAAAGTAGATATATGCTGTATGGGAGTTAAACCTGCTGTTGTTTCGTTGTGTCTTAATGACGTGCAGCCTGGAGCAAAGTGTTTCAGTTGTTTTTGATGAGGCTGTGTAAGTGTCACACTGCTTCCGGCATCTTCTGTTCAGTTGATATTCATTGTCAAATGAGGTAACATAATGGTGACTGAACTTAAGGCCCACTGATGGAAGTCCTTGCACTTGCAGTATTACAAACTGGGTGTCAGTGGTGACATTCCTGGGAGAAAAATGTTGTGTTATGTTACTTCTAATGCAAACCGAACATTTCCTTCACATTAAAAGCATTTCACTGGAGAAACACAAGTTGACATTTATTCTGAAGTAGTCGCAAAGCCACCATTGTCCATCAAAAAAGCACCTACAAAAGAAGATAATACTACATTTTCATATATTTAGGAAGCAAATCAATTTAGCAGGGAGTACTGAAACAGGAAGGAGCAGTTACAGTAAACATTTAGATGAAGAGCTGCACACCTCCAACTTCTCAGCACAGTAACCCACTCCTTTCACTGGACCCTGCTGTTTGCACTGCCGTGTACAACATTAGATAAGATCACGTTGCTCACAGAATGATCGAAAAAGGCCAATTATTACCAGACTTCTTTATTAAAACGACAATCCTTTGTTTTGTCGCAAACAGAATTCTGGGAGCTGTAGTATTAAACCGCAATTGCCTTCAGACCTACCACCAGTCCCTAGGTGTCGACAAATCAAGGTTTGAAGGGAAGGGGACAAGGGAACCCTTTAAAAAAGACAATGCCAGTTTTTCCACTGCAAATCTGAAATCTGAAATCAGACACGCTCCTGCAGACCATTTCTGCACTAAAACAAAAAGATCCTGCATGAGCAAAAAGGTCTACACAACTAAAGAAAAACTTATAGTTTCTCACCTACAAAACATGAGTGCTTTTTTCAAGAGAAGTCATAGAGAAAATATTTTAAGCATTATAAATGAACAGGCAACCTGACCTGAGCTGATGATTGATCTATTCTATAATCAGGATCTGTTATTTCAGGAATCTTATGTAACCGTGGTTAGTTAAACCCCAGGTTATTTCTAATCTGTTCTAAGAATTTAGCTGTATATAATGTATTTGTGTTCTAAATGTTTCTCTCTAATTTAAAATGATAAATGTATTATTATTTTCCATGAGAAGAAAGCACCAAAAGTATCTTCTGCTAAGCTGAAGTCACATCACAACCTGTATGTGTTACTGTACCTTTAATTGAAGCGGCAGTTGTTCGGTGCTGTTTTCAGCGTGAAAAAACTGATAGGAGTGGTCATCTTACCTGGGTACCAATCTTTGCACATTTCCCTCGACTGATGCATGTGTGTGCAGATGATAAAAAGTAAGTCAAAAGTCAGAAAGTGCCAAATAAGTTGAAAGGGATGTAGAAGAGCTGATTGACGAGCTGCGTAGAACTGTTTAGAGTTGTAGACAATTGCTGTGTTACAAGCTGCTAAAATCTTAAAGATGAGCCTTGTACTCTCACTAAAACCAGTCGGGATAAACTTGAATTAATGTCTGAAGCCTGTGTTTATGTGCTTTATGAATCTTGTGTTGTTCTTCAAATTCTTACTGTGTGTGAAACGCTTGATAACTGCTTGGTGCAGGCTAATGAGGTGCTGCGCTGGTGTTAGGCCAGCAGAGATTCCATGCAGTTTATGAGTGTTGAGTTCTTGGAGTGATTTAAAATTAATGTAAAATTAAAGTAAATAGGTTACAGTTGGAGCTGTATATTAAGGAAACACTTTATTTTGAAATGTTTATGTGAATTCATGTTAAGTGTACTGTGAGTTAAACAGAGTAAAATGGACATTGTAAAGCAGTACCTTTATTTAAATATATCCAAATGGACATTTTTAGATGGACTAGATGAGTAATTATTTTGCCTGGCTGTGTAGGCTGGGTTTTTTTTTAGAGTCCTTCCATTGGGTCCTCAGTCCTCGGTTCCTCTACCATCTTCTGCTGTCCTCCATCTGCATCTCCATCCTGGTTGCTACTCACTTTGGAAAAGGGGTCATCCACATCCACATCTCCATATCTTTCCCATTGCAATACTCACCTTGGACATCCACTGTGGAAGAGGGTGGTAGGACTTTGAGTGCACTCATACTCATATTTTCCCTTTACTTTTTAGTTTTTTATTCATTTGAACTTTTGGGACAATTTCCTTTTTCATACCTGAGATCTCAGAGGTGCTTTTTTTTATTTTGGTTATAAAATCAAACAAAGGTATTTAAAAGAACTGTGTATTGTGAATGCAACTTTGAGTTTATGATAGAGGTACTGAAGTATTATAATGCAGTATTCACTTTAATTTACTTACCTTTTGAGACAATGTGTTGTGAAGGATCTAGGATTTGCTGGGTTTAATATACCTCCTTTAAAATTGTCAATCTGTTGTCTTGTGTGTTATTTGGGGTAGATATTGTAGGTCTAATTCAATAATTCGGCAGGTAAAGCTCAGCAGTCTCCTCATTGAATCTAGAATCAAAGAAACCCTAATTTTCCTATTTGATATTTAGCACTGTCTTAAAGTGACAGGTGCAGGTAGGGGTTACACTTACACAAAGGATTTGATGTGTCATTACATAATATCAATGTCTGTTATTAAAGTATTGTCAAATGGTCTGAAGTATAACTTAGAACAGCTAACATTCTGCATCAACACTTCTTTTCCTGAAAGCGTGTATGTGGTCAGTTTGAGGAACAGGATGAGCAACTACAAACAGCCCGCCTCTTTATGTAGAAAGCAGCCTTACTGAAGCACAGTTCATTGTGGACATTGCAGAGCTTCAGTCACACTCACCATGAAGAACTTTACCTTGATAACAGCTTTAAGTCTCTGCAGCTTCAGTGAGTACTGGCATTGAATTACATTCATAACTTTGGTAGCTCTAACTAACCAGGACTGAAAGTATTGAGTTATGTAAGAGTTATTGTTCATGTTCTTTTTGTCTCATTGAAAGTAAATCTTGTGTGTTTCAGGCTGGATCTCTGTCTCAGGTTCTGAGTCTCAGACTGTGGAGGCTCAGGTTGGTGAAGAAGTCACACTGCTGAGTACCAACATGTCCAAACGCAGCACTCCGACATTCTGGGTCAAACTGGTCAACGGTACAAAGGCCAGCTGTATCACTGTTATGATCAATGACGAAGTTCAACACTGCGACGGATTTCGAAAAGGAAAATATGAAATGACATCCAAAATCTCCACTGTCTTTCTCAGGATCAAACATGTGGATTTATCTGACTCTGGACTGTATCTCTATGGATGTTATGAAATTGGACGTCCGAATTTCAATGTGATACATTTACATGTTAAAGGTAAGGTCATTCTGAAGTCTTTCTTCTGATACTCATTCTTTGTTCAGATTTTCACAATTGTCTTCTAACAACACAGGCAACATAGTGACAATTTAAAGACTGACAAACTGTTATTATGAGGAAAATCTGCGAAAATAATATCAAGACTAAAGGTATCCTTATTTCTTTAGGAGGCAGCGATGAGCCACATGATGACATGGACAACAAGTGTAAAAGTAAGATTCTCCTAAAGATTTCTTTCATTGTGCAGATTATCAAATGTTTGAAGGTGAAAAAGTTTTAGCGAGCTCTCAAGTCTTTAAAGGGAAAGTAGTGTCTAACTTAATTGTATTTTTTGTAGAAGAGTCTGATGGAATAGCAAAGCTGGTGATTGTCGTCCTGGGCAGTCTGACTGTTGTCCTTGTAATGGTCATCATATGTCTGGTTGTTACAGTCAGGAAACTTCAGACAGGTACTCTTATTTTAGCTAAATGTAAAGTATAATGTAATAACATCAGAGTTTAAAGAAAAGGACTGTCAGTTAACTGATTCGATGTATTGTCTCTGTCATTCAGCTGCCAATGAGGAACAGAGACCACAACAGCGTGAGGTGAATCACCTTTTATTGTTTACTGTTGTATATGATAAATGCTTTCATATGTTAAAGATGGTAGAATCATAAATGTAGTTTTTCTCACACACTCAGCTGTTTGCCTTGTGTTAACTGTGTGTACTCTTTACAGAATCTGGACTCTGATGACCTGAAGGATGCAGCCCTGAGTTTGTATTTAACAACAATAAGAAACAGGAGGCCTGAGTCAGAGAGACAAGTGGAGACTCGTGTTATTTATGCTGCCAGCAGATAGACTCAGAGTGGTTCAGAGGAGCTGATGCTTTATCATATTAATCTGCTACTGTGTTCTTTTGTGGTTGGGTGGGCGGAGTTACCATTTTCTTATTGAGAGGAAAATCAAACAGTCCAATAATATTTGACTTCTTATCAGTGCTTTTACTCTCATGTCTTGCTCTATCTCTTGCTCTCTGTGTTGCTAATTGTATCTGACTTTGGTGACTGTCCAGATAGACAATAGATAATAGAAGCCTGTGGTCTGTTCCATCAAAGCTCTGTGCAAATAAAGTCTGAAATGAAGCAGTGAACAGTGTGGAACTATTTTTTATCTTAACTGCGATGTCAATGTGGTGCATGTCTGAATTTAAAATACAATGTATTTTAAAAAGATTGGTGGTTGTATTAATTAATATAGATATATATGTCACCTACAGGCCCTTTGTTGCACTTTGTACTGGGGTGACAAACAGCTCTGTCTATATCAGGCAGATATCTGTATCTGTATCTTTACACATTGCAAAGACTCACACTCCTCTATCAAACTTGTGAAAGTATATCTGAAGCACAGTGATACTTGGACAGCCTCATATGAAACCATCCACTCTACAGGCTGCACATGTTTAAGACAGATCACAGAAGATGGAGGGGCGCCATATTGTTTTAATATGTTGTATGTCTCAGCCTGACAGTCAAGTTGTTGTTCATATCCTTGTCTCTTCAGACTCATATATAGTATATGTGGTAAATACTTAGAGGGAATAGAATAAAATGTATAAGTATTAGTCATTAGGTATTAGTATTAGGTAAAAGTAAGTATATTTGTGGGTCATCATAATGATGGTATATATATGTATGATTTCAGTTAATATTTTTATTTCAGTTTTTGAACTGTATGGACTATCATTGACATATTGGCCAAACACATACACATGTACTCCATTGCTATGTAAAGATGGTTGCTCATAGAGTATAGGTTTATAAACAGTGGTGGAGTTTTTCTCCTGATGTTTTTAGATGCAATGGCTCTCTATGAGCTGTAAGTGAAACTCATTCAGTCACTGGAACACAATGAGTTAAAAGTGACGCTCAAATTCAGAATGAGGCAGTATGAGAAAGGCAGATGAAAGCCCCTCCTGTGCTAGTTAATGTTTACTCATGCTGTCCCAGTCAAGATGTGTGTGAAATATGACATTTTTAAATCATGGTTAAAAACCTATTTTGAAGTCACAATGACCTTTGACCTCTGAGACACAAATGTCACCAACTCAGGGTCTGACAAACTGTGAAATATGGTCACAATCCCCCCTTGTGTTCCTGAGTTATAGCCAAAAACAGGTTTTTCCAGGACATTATGATGTTACAGTGACCTTGAGCTTTGACCACCAAAATCCATCTTGCCAGACTTCAATCTATACGTTTGTGGCCGTTATAGCGCTATCGGACCAATTGGTGTCCTTTGAGGAAGCACTGGCAGCTATGGGAGTGGATTTTGGATGGAGTGTGGAGTGTATTTTTTAAAAAGCTGGAGCAACTTCTTTCCTCTTGCTCCATTTTCACTCCAGTATGCATATGTCTATCTCCAGAAACACTGTATTTTTTGAAAGTGCCTGCCCTCTTTCAAACAGTTTTCAAAGACAACTTTCCCAAATGGCTCTGTGTAACAAACCATCAGATACAGTCAGGTTTAGACAAAGTACCACTACCTGAGAGGTAACCACCAGCGTGGGAGACCACCAGGGGCGTTTCCAGACTTGTTGACTGGGGTGGCACAAGTGGGGCACTGACTTACTCAGGGGTGACATGAAATATGTCTCAGTTTTTCAGTCATTCCCAATTTGAGCAGTATGCAAAAACAAATTAAATACACTCGGCAAAAATAACACTTTTACACCACATACAAAGGTCAATGGCAGAAATGCCAGTTTTTCTATCTACAAAATTTACATTAACTTATAGCGAGTAACACCACAGGTCCCCCTCTGGACACGCCCCTGAATACTACCTCTGTACCAAGTGTGAACCTATCATGACAGTTTGTTGGAGTCAGTGGAGGTAACACACTGCGAGTTAAGCTGCGCTCATTGACTGCGCAGTGTAGACTCGTCTGTAGCAGGAAACAGTGATCCAGATAGATAATAGATAAATGGAGGCCTGCAGCAGTGGAGGAGTGAGTGAGGTACACGTCACCAGTACAGTGTGGTCTGAGCACATCTGAGGTGTAAACCATGTGGTCTGTTCCATCAAAGTTTTGTGCGAATAAAGTCTCAAATGAAGCAGCAAATAGTGTTTTTTTAGCCAAACATCAGTGTGCAAACTGGATATTTTAACTGATGTCAATGTGTTACATGTCTGAATTTAAAATACAATGTATTTTAAAAAGACTGGTGGTTGTATTAATGAATATAAATATGTATGCCACCTACATGCCCTTGCACATATACTGGGGTGACAAACAGCACAGTCTATTTCAGGGAGATATCTGTATCTGTATCTTTACACATCTGAAAGACTGACGCTCCTCTATCAAACGTGTGAAACTATATCTGAAGCACAGTGGTACTTGCTACTTGTGATACTAGTGGTACAGTGAGACAGCCTCATATGAAACCATCCACTCTACAGGCTGCACATGTTTAAGACAGATCACAGAAGATGGAGGGACGCCATATTGTTTCAATGTGTTGTATGCCTCTGCCTGACAGTCAAGTTGTTGTTCACATGCTTGTCTGTTGAGACTCATGTATGGTATATGTGGTGAATATATGTATGTTGAATATGTGGGATTTGAAATGGATGTTATCATAATGATGTTACCTTTATGATTTCAGTCAATATACATTTTCTAGCTGTATGGACTATCATTGACCATGGGTAGACAAACTGCCACATGCGGCTCCTTAGTCCCTCTCCAGTGGCACCCTGTGACTTCCACAAACATTATATGGGATTGGAATTATTATTTTTTTCCTATTTCCATCTCTCATCATTGTAGGCCTAAAGTGATTCTTTCATTCCACAATTGTAAAAGTGTGTAGCTATTACACACCAAAAAAAAAAAAAAAATTTCCTCAACTAAAAAGTGCGTCATACATTAAGTCCTGACCTGGTACCTTTTGGGGTGGCACGAGTGGGGCACTGAAATATTCAGGGGTGGCATGAAGCATGTGTAAATTTTCTAGGCATTCCATATTTATGCAATTTCAGTACTGTTTATGGACGTCACTGTGTCAATATACAAATGCACTAGGCAAGAGACATTCGTAACACATGCAAAAAAAAAACTGTATGGGATTTGCAAAAGGTGGGCAAGGCTGCAAAAGGGAGACCCATAGAACTCATTTCCATTCAGATATCTTAAGGTCAGAGGTCAAGGGAACCCTTTGAAAATGACAATGCCAGTTTTTCCACTGCTATTTAGCCCTTTGCTGTCATCATAAAGGGCGGCTGTGGCTCAAGGCGGTTCCTTGAGCAAGATACTGAACTCCAAATTGCTCCTGATGCCATATATTAGTGTATGACTGTGTGAATGCTTAGTTTCTGTTCTGGTGAGAAGTTGGCACCTTGCATGGCAGCCACTGCCATCAGTGTATGAATGTGCATGAATGGGGTGAATGTGGCATGTAGTGTACAGTGCATTGAGTGGTTGAAAGACTAGAAAGGCGCTATATAAGTACAGTCCATTTACCATTTACCATAACTATGACATGGTTGATACCAGTGGGTGTGTTAGGTCATCTAGGTTCATATAATGAGAGTGTCTTCACTCAAGCTTTAAACTAAAGCCAGCTACAGCTTCTACAAGACAGTGCAGAGTGGAAGACGAAAAGAAAATGGGGAGTAACTGAAACTCTGAAATCAGCCTGTGCAGACCACCTCTGTACTAAAACAAAAAGATCCTGCCTGAGCAAAAAGTTCTACACAACTGTAGGACAACTTATAGCGTCTGTATGAGTGCTTCTTTAGCAGAGGTCATCCTAGAAAATATTTTAAGCATTATAAATGAACAGGCAACCTGAGCTGGGCTGATGATTGATCTATTCTATGGTCAGGATCTTTTATTTCAGGAATCTTACATAAAGGATTTGATGTGTCATTACATAATATCAATGTCTGTTATTAAAGTATTGTATATTGGTCTGAAGTATAACTTAGAACAGCTAACATTCTGCATCAACACTTCTTTTCCTGAAAGCGTGTATGTGGTCAGTTTGAGGAACAGGATGAGCAACTACAAACAGCCCGCCTCTTTATGTAGAAAGCAGCCTTACTGAAGCACAGTTCATTGTGGACATTGCAGAGCTTCAGTCACACTCACCATGAAGAACTTTACCTTGATAACAGCTTTAAGTCTCTGCAGCTTCAGTGAGTACTGGCATTGAATTACATTTATAACTTTGGTAGCTCTAACTAACCAGGACTGAAAGTATTGAGTTATGTAAGAGTTATTGTTCATGTTCTTTTTGTCTCATTGAGAGTAAATCTTGTGTGTTTCAGGCTGGATCTCTGTCTCAGGTTCTGAGTCTCAGACTGTGGAAGCTCAGCTTAATGACACAGTCACACTGCTGAGTACCAACATGTCCAAACGCAGCACTCGGACATCCTGGCTCAAACTGGTCAATGGTACAAAGGCCAGCTGTATCACTGTTATGATCAATGACGAAGTTCAACACTGCGGCGACGGATTTCGAAAAGGAAAATATGAAATGACATCCAACATCTCCACTGTCTTTCTCAAGATCAAACATCTGGATCTATCTGACTCTGGACTGTATCTCTATGGATGTTGCGAAAGTGGACAACCGAATTTCAATATGATAAATTTGCATGTTAAAGGTAAGGTCATTCTAAAGTCTTCCTACTGGTACCCATTCTTTGTTCATTTTTTTCAAAATTATCTTCTAACAACACAGGCAACATAGTGGCAATTTAAAGACTGACAAACTGTCATTATGAGGAAAATCTGCCAAAATAATATCAAGACTAAAGGTATCCTTATTTCTTTAGGAGGCAGCGATGAGCCACATGATGACGTGGACAGCCAGTGTGAAAGTAAGATTCTCCTAAAGATTTCTTTCATTGTGCAGATTATCAAATGTTTGAAGGTGAAAAAGTTTTTGCCTGGTCTCAAGTCTCTAAAGGGGAAATAGCGTCTAACTTAATTGTATTTTTTGTAGAACAGTCTGATGGAAAAGAAGAGTCTGATGGAATAGCAAAGCTGGTGATTGTCGTCCTGGGCAGTCTGACTGTTGTCCTTGTAATGGTCATCATTGGTCTGGTTGTCAAAAACAGGAAACTTCAGACAGGTACTTTTTGTCAGTGCTACTGTCTCTATCTTACATATATTTCTTGTTGTTTAAAGTTGTGTCAATATGATTGAAAAATGCTAAACTCCTGGTTTACCAAAGACAATGATCAATGAACTGACCAGATGTTTTGTTTCTGTCACTTAGCTGATAAAGAAGAACAGAATCCAGAGCAAAGAGAGGTGAATCCATTTTAAACATTTACTCATATATACTGTTTGATAGAGCCAGACGAAAAACAGCCAGAGCTATATTGACTCGGCTAACATTAACTTGTCCCTGACATATTGGTGTATTCATATATATATAACTGCATATTTGTATTGAATAAGTAACAAGAAAATGCAGTACAGAAATACAAAAATGATGTTTGAGGTACAGTTCAAACAGTGCCACGATTTCATAGTTTGTCCATTAGAGAGCACTAACAAGTTTATTTTTAAATGGCATCTTATCAGGAATGTATGGGTCACACTTTACAACGGTACACAAAATTGTGTGTAGTTACTAAGGAACGAGTGAGGAAAGACCTGATAATTAATGAATTGTTAAGAAGTAGTTAGTGAATAACTCCAAATGGAGGACTATATAGTAGATAGTGATGATTTTCTAGAGAACTGATTGGGAGATACTTTATATTGTGCCCCTTCAAGTAAATTGATACATTATACGAAGTATGTTACATAATATAGTCCATTCATCCATCCATTTTCATCTGTTTACTCGGGGTCGTGTTGCCGTGGCAGCAGATTAAGCAGGGGGTTCCAGACATCCCTCTCATCAGCAATGTTTTCTAGTTCATAATATACATAATATAGTATATATAGCTATGTAGTCCTGGGTTTGGAGTATTTCAGTAAGTGTTTATTAGGGATTAAGGATGTTCTTGACGTGTACCGTGTTGTAAAGTCTTACAATCGTACGTATTTAGAAATTAATATTGACCAAATACCAATATTGGTATGAGCCTCATAAGTCCAGTATCCATCTGGCTATATTGGATGAATTAAAATCATGTCAATCCACCACATTCAGACTGTAAATACTCTTTTCACAGAATGCAGACTCTGACCTGAATTACGCAGCAGTGGCATTTCGACCAAAGGCAAAAAGAAGACAGCCGGAGCCAAATGTTATTTATGCTGCCACCAGATAGACTGAGGAGGCAACTGGAACTGATGCTGTATCATATGAATGTGCTTCAGAGCTTTTGTGTGCCTTTTTTCTAATAGCAATAACCATACATGGATTTTGGAATAATGATCTTCATATTCTCAACATTTTATTTCTTTTCATTTCTTCTCAGTATGCTTATCAGGAACATAATGTTTTAGGAGGAGGAGCCATTAAAGAACAAAGAAGAGACAGTACAGTGTAGTTGGAGAATAACTGAGGTGAAAACCATGAGGGCCGTTAGATCAAAGCTTTCTAATAATAGAAGCAGTGAATACGGGCTGACTTCCCAAAGCCTTAGCAAGACATTTGTGAATAGGCTTTGAAAAACCATACAGTCCATCAGTGTGAGAAATGTAACCGATATCATATAATCCCTATCATATGCTAAAAGTCTGAATCAAAAACAAAATGTCTGACTATTAGAAGTGTCTGTATCATTGGTGAGGCATGAACCACAGGAAGATTGACGTTCAGCTCTCTGCAACCCCTTCCCTCACAAGGTCATAAAAACAGCATGGAGAACTACCACACTGTCTATACTGTATAAAGGAGTAATGAAGGAATACACTGTGGCATTTTCAGGTTTATGCATATAAATGTATTACTCTTCATCCTCACACATGCATTGAAAAATCATTAGTCAGCAGCTCACCGCCATTATCTGTTCTGCAAATCAACACATTGAGGTGATAACTGTATTCAAAATCCTGTGTCATGTCATGTTTAAATAAAGGTTTTGATTTGGAGTCTGTCTATTCTTATTATTACTGCCTGTTATCAAAGTAGATATATGCTGTATGAGAGTTAAACCTGCTGTTGTTTCGTTGTGTCTTAATGACGTGCAGCCTGGAGCAAAGTGTTTCAGTTGTTTTTGATGAGGCTGTGTAAGTGTCACACTGCTTCTGGCATCTTCTGTTCAGTTGATATTCATTGTCAAATGAGGTAACATAATGGCGACTGAACTTAAGGCCCACTGATGGAAGTCCTTGCACTTGCAGTATTACAAACTGGGTGTCAGTGGTGACATTCCTGGAAAAATGCTGTGTTATGTTACTTCTAATGCAAACCGAACATTTCCTGATACTGCACTTTCACATTAAAAGCATTTCACTGGAGAAATACAAGTTGACATTTATTCTGAAGTAGTCCCAAAGTGCTTGAGATTAGCACAGACCACTATGGTCAATCAAAAAAGCACCTACAAAAGAAGAGTACTGAAACAGGAAGGAGCAGTTACAGTAAACATTTAGATGAAGAGCTGCACACCTCCAACTTCTCAGCACAGTAACCCACTCCTTTCACTGGACCCTGCTGTTTGCACTGCCGTGTACAACATTAGATAAGATCACGTTGCTCACAGAATGATCGAAAAAGACCAATTATTACCAGACTTCTTAATGAAAACAACAATCCTTTGTTTTGTTGAATTCTGGGACTTGTAGTATTAAACCTCATTTGCCTTCAGACCTACCACCAGTCCCTAGGTGTCGACAAATCAACCAGGTCTGAAATCTTAAGGGTTGTAATTTCAAGTGTGATTCTTTACAAGAGGAACAGTGAGAGTCTTTATGAAACTACTCCCTTTAAGATTCTTTTGTTAGAAAGCTTTGATCTAACAGGTCTCTAGGTTTTCAGTTATGCTCAGACCACACTGTGCTCTCTCTTCCTGTCAAATAAGGGTTGTGAAAATCTTACTTTTACACTTGCTGTCCACGTCATCATGTGGCTCATCGCTGCCTTTGAAGGAAGTCAGGATGAATTTGTCTTAATATTATTTTGGCAGATTTTCCACATTACATTTTCTCTGTGTTAAAGTTACACATTTAAACATTTATACCACATACAAGAAAACTGTCTGGGATTTGCAAAAAGTGGGAAAGTCTGCAAAAGGGAGACCCATACAACCCATTTCAATTGAAAAATCTTAAGGTCAGAGGTCAAGGGAACCCTTTGAAAAAGACAATGCCAGTTTTTCCACTGTCAACATTTTGCGTAAATTTGGAGTGTTATTTATCCCCCTTGCTGTGTTAGGTCCTTTTTTCAGCAGATGTCATAGAGAAAATATTGTGTTAACTGTGTGTACTCTTTACAGAATCTGGACTCTGATGAACTGAAGGATGCAGCCCTGAGTTTGTATTCAACAACAATAAGAAACAGGAGGCCTGAGTCAGAGAGACAAGTGGAGACTCGTGTTATTTATGCTGCCAGCAGATAGACTCAGAGTGGTTCAGAGGAGCTGATGCTTTATCATATTAATCTGCTACTGTGTTCTTTTGTGGTTGGGTGGTCACAGTCCAATAATATTTGACTTCTTATCAGTGCTTTTACTCTCATGTCTTGCTCTATCTCTTGCTCTCTGTGTTGCTAATTTTATCTGACTTTGGTGACTGTCCAGATAGACAATAGATAATAGAAGCCTGTGGTCTGTTCCATCAAATCTCTGTGCAAATAAAGTCTGAAATGAAGCAGTAAACTGAAAAAGTGCATTCCAGAAGTTGCTAGCGTCTTTAGCAGCCCGGGCATCCTCATGGCTGTGTTTCAGGTGACTTATCAGGTTTGGCGTATTGAAGCTCGTGCTACATTTACTTCCTTGTGGAACTTGCTTGGAACATTTGTTACAAATAACAAGCATAGTGGGAGCGGGGCACTGCCGTGCTGACAAAATTATACATGTTATCGGTGCTATTCGTCATGATATCGGACTTACCGGAATGACGTAATAATTTCCTGTTATCGGCCCGATAATAATCTGCACCAATAGGTAACAGTAAGTATATTTTTGGGCTAAGTGGATGTCATCATAATGATGGTACCTGTATATGTATGTATATATGTAATATTTTTATCTAAGTTTTTGACCTTGACCATTGACGTAATAAGATATTCCTTTGTTGATCTCCCGTAGCAGAAATTCAAGTCAGACACAGCAACATAGGAGGATGTAGTGCAAGTACAGACACATACAAAGAACAATAAAGAATCACAAAATAATACAAAATAAAAATATTATAAAGATATAATAGAAAATATAAGACTATAATGAAAAATGTAATAAATGCAGTAAAATGTTGTGCAAAATATTTGAAGCAACATAAAAACTAAACTGTTGCATGTGCAATTTGCAAGGTACAGTTTGTGCAAAGAGTTTGTGCATCGTAGGTTGAAGTTAAACCAGTCTTAATCAGCGGGGGCTGAAGTTACTGGGTGCTTGTGGCGTTGTGGAGTCTGATGGGTGATGGTACAGACGAGCCTCCAAACCGCTTTGAGGCTCAGGGCTGGGTCAGTCTGTGGCTGAAAGTGCTCCTGGGCTGCCTCAGCTCAGTGTAGCGAGAATGAGAGGGGTCGTCCATAATGGCTTTCAGCTTCCGTCTCATCCTCTTGTCAGTCACAGCCTCCACACTGTCCAGCTCCATCCCCACCACCGAGCTAGCCTTCTTGCTCAGATTTTTGGCACCACAAGTCCCGATGCCACCTCACCAGCACACCACAGCAAAGAAGATGACACAGGCCATTACAGACCGGTAGAACATCCATAGTAGCCTAGTGCACACGTTGGAGGACCTGAGCCTCCTCAGAAAGAACAGCCTGCTTTGTTGTTTCCTGTAGAGGGCCTCAGTGTTGTCCATCCAGTCCAATTTATTGTTGAGTGTCACCCCCAGGAACTTGTAGGTGTCCACCATCTCACCATTGTCACCACGTCTGTCAAGCAGCTGTACAGTATGAGAAAGGCAGATGAAAGCCCGTCCGGTGCTAGTTATTGTTTACTCATGCCGTCCCAGTCAAGATGTGTGTGAAATCTGAAATCACCTAATTCATTCTTAAACCATGATTAAACTATTTTGAACTCACAATGACCTTTGACCTGAGTAAAAAATTTAACCAACTCAATATAATAGTGGAAATATGGTCATAATCCCCCCTTGTGTTCCTGAGTTATGGTGTTGAATACCGGCCAAAGGACATTATAATGTGAAGCTGACCTTTGACCTTTTGGTAAAACAAGTCATCACTTCATTGTTGTATCCCATTAAACATTTGTGTGAAATGTTATCATAATTTCCACAAAACTGTTTTCAAAGACAACTTCCCAAATGGCTCTGTGTAACAAACCATCAGATACAGTCAGGTTTACACAAAGTGCCACTACCTGAGAGGTAACCACCAGCGTGGGAGAGACCACCAGGGGCATTTCCAGACATTTTTGACTGGGGTGGCACAAGTGGGGCACTGACTTACTCAGGGGTGGCATGAAATATGTCTCAGTTTTTCAGTCATTCCCAATTTGTGCAGTATGCAAAAACAAATTAAATACACCAGTTTTTCTATCTGCAAAATTTTATTTAACTTATAGTGAGTAACACCACAGGTCCCCCCTCTGGACACGCCCCTGAATACTACCTCTGTACCAAGTGTGAACCTATCATGACAGTTTGTTGGAGTCAGTGGAGGTAACACACTGCGAGTTAAGCTGCGCTCATTGACTGCGCAGTGTAGACTCGTCCGTAGCAGGAAACAGTGATCCAGATAGATAATAGATAAATGGAGGCCTGCAGCAGTGGAGGAGTGAGTGAGGTACACGTCACCAGTACAGTGTGGTCTGAGCACATCTGAGGTGTAAACCATGTGGTCTGTTCCATCAAAGTTTTGTGCGAATAAAGTCTCAAATGAAGCAGCAAATAGTGTTTTTTTAGCCAAACATCAGTGTGCAAACTGGATATTTTAACTGATGTCAATGTGTTACATGTCTGAATTTAAAATACAATGTATTTTAAAAAGATTGGTGGTTGTATTAATGAATATAAATATGTATGCCACCTACATGCCCATGCACATGTACTGGGGTGACAAACAGCACAGTCTATTTCAGGCAGATATCTGTATCTGTATCTTTACACATCTGAAAGACTGACGCTCCTCTATCAAACGTGTGAAACTATATCTGAAGCACAGTGATACTTGCTACTTGTGATACTAGTGGTACAGTGAGACAGCCTCATATGAAACCATCCACTCTACAGGCTGCACATGTTTAAGACAGATCACAGAGGACGGAGGGGCACCAGGGAGCGTACCTATGTTCTCCGGGTCCTATGTTCCCCGCTTTGTATGGGACCGGGGAACCCTAACCCTAACCCTAACCCTAACCTTAGCGGGAAACATAGGACCCGGGGAACATAGGGATGACCCTGTTACCTTTATGATTTCAGTCAATATACATTTTCTAGCTGTATGGATTATCATTGACCATGGGTAGACAAACTGCCACATGCTGCTCCTTAGTCCCTCTCCAGTGGCACCCTGTGACTTCCACAAAAATTATTAATGGAAATTAATAATTGTTTTTTCCCATTTTCATCTCATCATTGTAGGCCTAAAGTGATTCTTTCATTCCACAATTGTAAAATTGTGCAGCTATTACACACCAAAAAAAACCAAAAACCTTTCCTCAACTAAAAAGTGCGTCATACATTAAGTCCTGACCTGGTACCTTTTGGGGTGGCACGAGTGGGGCACTGAAATATTCAGGGGTGGCATGAAGCATGTGTACATTTTCTAGGCATTCCATATTTATGCAATTTCATTACTGTTTATGGACGTCACTGTGTCAATATACAAATGCACTAGGCAAAAGAGAACACATTCATAACACATGCAAAAAAAAAAGTGTGGGATTTGCAAAAGGTGGGCAAGGCTGCAAAAAGGAGACCCATAGAACTCATTTCCATTCAGATATCTTAAGGTCAGAGGTCAGGGGGGCACTTTGAAAATGACAATGCCAGTTTTTCCACTGCTATTTAGCCCCTTTGCTGTCATCATAGAGAGGCGCTATACAAGTACAGTCAGGGACGGCTGGTATATATGGGCTATCAGGGCTAAGCCCCCCCTATCTTTTACAGTAAAGTTAAAAAACTATTATTAAAAACATTAGAACATATTGTTTTGAATTTTGGTAGAACCTAGAGCAGCAACAGCACCAAAAAGTGACAGAAAAAACCCAGGATATACATCTTGGGTTTTTTCCTGTGCTTGGGCTAAATACAGTAGTGTAAACTTCCATTCACTTTTGATTGACAGGTGTAATGACATGCCCCCTTCATATGCTGCCCATTTGGGCTAAATTCATTTAACCCAAAGGCTGACCTTCGACCAATCACAGTGCAGTAGCTACAGTACAGTGACCTTCGACCAATCACAGCGCAGTAGCTACAGTACAGTGACCTTCGACCAATCACAGCGCAGTAGCTACAGTACAGTGACCTTCGACCAATCACAGCGCAGTAGCTACAGTACAGTGACCTTCGACCAATAACAGCGCAGTAGCAACAGTACAGTGACCTTCGACCAATCACAGCGCAGTAGCTACAGTACAATCACAGCGCAGTAGCTACAGTACAGTGAGGCTAGTTCGTAGTATGGCGGGCGTTAGCATGAACATGAACGAGGTGGATTATTTACTTTCTAATCAATTTTCTTTAAAGTCTTTGGAGGAAACATTGGAAGTACAGAGATTGGGGACACATCATCAAAATGATGTTCAAATAACACAAAAGAACAAACGACAAAATCGTAATTTTGTGTTACGTGGTTTCAGCTAATGGACTGGTTAACAACAAGTGTAGCTAGGAATTCGCTTTTCTGTTTCCCATGTTTGTTTTTTGGAGGAGACACGGCTTGGACCCAACAAGGAACTGATATTTATACAACAAAATTAGGAAACATGAATGCAGCACGAGCCACATCAGAAATAGTGTAAAGCTGTCATTGCTGGGTAAAGTGAACATCGCCTGTCAGCTTAATGAGAGTCACTGCATCGCTGTACAGAGACACAACGAGCTGGTAAAGAAAAACAGGCATTCACTATCACGGATTGTGGACTGCATTACATTTTGTGGGGGACATGAGCTCGCCCTGCGGGGGTCCGATTAATCTCCCACTTCACTCCAGCGGCAACCAGTTCTCTTTTTTAGACAGTCAATCAGCCGATCACCTGTCAAACACACAGGTTGCAAAGTACACGTCTAAGACCACAGATTCTCTCAAAACGAGACAGGGCCTGGAGAATTTTTTGTGCTTCATATCTGAACTGCTGACCACAGATGACAACCAGCCACATCCAGATGCGGACACAGCGGCAGCCGTTGTAACGCTGCGCAGGATGCGGCGCTCTGATAATGTCTCAGTAGCCGCACAGTGCGCTTTGAGAAAGCCAGGCACTTGTTGTCTTTGCATGTGAACATTACCCAATGATCTGCATGGAGAAACTGAAAGGTGAGCTGATGGTGAGGTACAGCAGTGTGGAGTTTGACATGGTGATTAACCTGTTTGAGAGAGAGAGAGAGAGAGAGAGAGAGATTTTTTTGGCATCAGGTCATTCTTTTGGGTTTGTCTCCCCAGAGTTGCCGTAGAGCACTTACTATAACAAAATATACAATGTTGTTGCTGTAACTTGATGCTACAGTTGC